AAAAATATGCCATCTCATATTGCCTTGCTCGTTGTCGTCACTGCCGTGAGAACTAATAGCATATGCTCATACGGTCACGCCAAATACAAACTTACTGAACAAACATCTCGTACTATTAGGTGGAAATATTTTTTTTCTACTAATTCTCCATCTCAATTGTTTGCTCCCGGTGATTTGGTATTTATTTCGGGTAGATGTGTTGTTGAAAATTCTGAGCAGTGCGTGACCATCGTATATGCTAGCATTATCGATAATAATTCTAGCCGAGAATTCGACCTTACTGGTGTCCCGATATGCATTCCGCACTGTATGGTTTTTGTTCTTGTTAATCATAACCCGAAACAAACCAAAGAGTTTATTCATTTTGGCATCGAAACTGTTGAATATAACGCTGTCACTGGGTCCTCAAATATTAAAATGGAAATAATTATTCTTTATCCGTCCCAATCCACAAGATTTAAACATTTGGGTACTTCAGGATCAAATATTAAAGTAGGAAATACCTACCTCGTATCGGGTCTCCTTAAATTCTCTGATTCTGGCAAAATAATGATCAAGGCTTCTGATATCGATTTTTCAAAATTACCTCCTTTAAATCTTATGCTTCCCGAAATTTCTTCCTCTACGTCATCAACTACTCGCTCGATTATTGATATTATTGCAGATGATATTGATTCCAACACTGACCAATCATCTACAAAACCTTCTTCTATTAGGTATAATAACATCCTCGCTTCTAGTTCCTTCGCAACGTTATCCGCTTCAACTGCTGCTGATATTGAAATTAATTCATCGGTTGAAAAGAATAATTACATTGACTTAAATGCAGAGGATAACAACTGTGAATGTGATTCTGATCATAAATACAATGAAAATGAAGATTCGGAAGATGATCAACCTAAGAAGAGGAAAAGGAGTGCAAGAATCAATAAGAAGGATAAAGGGAAAAAATATTATGAAAAATAAAAAATATATACTTGGGGTATTTAATGATCTGTGGTATAAAATAAATTTCGTGTACCTTTTAAGATTTGTTTATTCATTCATTCGTTAGTTTATAAGATGATGTTAAAATATAAT